CTCGTTGACAGCTCTTAAGAAGACCAAGTTACCCTGTGCACACCTGTTCGGAGCCTCTTGCTCCAAGCCTCAGACCGCAGCTCCAGGTACTGCTGCTGGGTTCCTGGTGTCAGGGGCAAGAGCCCTCAGGCCTGCACCGAGCCTGGAGGCAGCCCTGGCGCTTGAACGACGAGAAGGGTGGCCAAGCCTGCATCTCCATCCTGCACTGACCTTCGAGCTTTGCACAGGATTTTGCTTTGCAGATGGTGGAGGGAGGTATCGAGGAGTGGCAGGTATCCTTGCTCAAGTTTTCTTGTTCGCAAGAGTAACTCTGAATTCCCTGCTGCCTGGTAAGAACATCTGGAGTCAACCTGCCTCACATGCAAGCAGGAGGAGAGCCCAGGCATTGTTGAGAGCAGCCATTTCTTCATTCCATATTCCAAGAAATAGAGATTCCTCAAACTGCCAGTAAAAATGGCGCATGCTTTATGTTTTTCCTCTCAGTGTTAGGGACGCACTTTCCAGAGTGGTGGCACCACCTGGAAGTTCTCCTGGGCACCAGAGCTACCACTTACAGGTGAGACCCTCCCGCATGCCCTCCAGTTCAGGTGGGGCTCCAGACTCACCCTGACCTTAATTCGTACAAAACTTGATGCTGTGCTGTAGAGCTGTGATCTAAGGCAGTGCTTTGCCTACTACTACTACTAAACCAAACTCAAACTTCTGGGCGGTTGCCCTTGACTGGAGTCTTGCTAGCACGGGGCTGTTTGCAGCCCATGTTTGGCTGTCAGTGTGTTGCCTGGGTCGTGCTTGTCCCCTCGCTAGTGTTTGCAACCTCTGGCTGCGGGGATCCTTTATTCTATTGGATTAGTCAAAAACCTCGCTGTGATTAAGGGAGACTCCTCTGGGAATGGTGCTTTTCCTTGGCACTTGGGCACTGTTGTTCTTGTCCTTCTCTGTTGTGCAAACGGTAACAGTTTGGGCAGTTAGTGCTGCGGAAGCTGCAGACCCTCTGAAAGACATGAGGAGTCTGTCGGTTCTCGCCATTATATTTTATTACACTTGTGCATCTCTATATAGCAATATTTCATTTAATCTTTGTGTTTTCATGCAACTGTTTCCTCCTAATCAGAGTGACTTTTTAGCACCACGTTGCCTACCTATTTCATCTTCTTCCCCTCAGTAGTTGCCACTGCCTTGGCTTGCTTTCCACCAAGTCACCTAGAAGTGCTGGGCTTCACCAGGGCACCCGGAGCAGCTCTTGCTCGGTGCCCACGCACTGCGTTTGCCTCCTGGAATATACCCCAGATCCAGCTTTTCAAAGCAAAAGGAACACATGCAACCTAAGTTAACTCCCATTCATTTATTCACATTTTCCATGGATTTCTTTTTTCTTTTTCTTTTTTTTTTTGGTACACTTTTTCACAGTATTAAAACTAAGGAGAACATTGTTACATTACAAGTTATGTGCAACATAAGTATCTGCTGAAAAGTTCAGAGCAGTTGAAACCTACTAACAATAATTCACAATGTCACATTCAGCAGTTTCACTGAGTTCAGACTAGTTCATGCCACTCAGAGCTGTTTAATGTCAGTTAATTTTTACACACAGGCAGCTACAAAAAAAAAAAACAACAAAAAAAACTTTTAGCTCAGAATAAAAAGTTCTTTTAAGGCATCAAAAAAGACAGTCTTTAAGGACATTTGAAAGGTTACAGTGCTGTGAAGGGAGCTAAACGGGAGTTCTTAAAGATAACATCTTAATCGGTCTATGGACTACGGGTTCACTTGAAAGAGTCCTCCTTGTAAATTAAACTTGAATGTTCATGTTGGGAGCACTTACTGTTGTGTTCCCACATAGGCCTGAAGAACAGTGTAGAAAACTGCAAAAAAGCATTTTTTTTTTTCAGAATAAAATTCAAACCACCTAATCTCCTTTGCACATGATTCTGCGATTTAAAAGCAGCAGACCTCTTGATTGCTCTTTGAGGGTGATGGCAGGGGAAGGGAAGCACTGTAAGACGTGGCAAAAGCAGGAATTCGGGTGCTCACGAGTGGCCCCAGCACCCGTGTTCGGAGCTGGCAGCGACACTGGCAGCTCCAGCGAGGGAGGAAACTGGCTCCTCTTGCAGCAGGTAGCAGCTCTCGGATCTCTGTGTGCTCCAGGGCACGGGGTGGCCTCGCTATGGCCACCTCCCCTGTGTAGATGAGTACTCTGTCATGCCAAACCTTCGTAGTTCTGTGCTCTCCACACAGCTTTGCCTTTTATTGGGTTTTAGGCCTTGATTTTTATTATTTCTATTAAATTATTTTTGTCTTTTCAAAATAATTATGTATTTTAGTATTCATAATGGTACTGCAACTAAAAACCGAAGCATTATCGAAAACTGGTCTTTTTATAACCATATTGGCGAAGGTTTTGCTTGATAACTGAACCGAAAGAAGTATGACTTGCTTTTCCTCTTTGAAATCCAGACAGTGGCAGGGTCACTAAGGATGACGACTAAAATCTGTAGTTCTTGGTGAAATTCTTTCCTCCTCTGTTTTTAGTATTTAGCACTCATACCAGGGTGAGGAATGTAAGGACTTGTTGCATGAGCTGCTTATGAATTTGTTTCTAACAGTCTAGGTGGCAGATGATCCTTTTCAAGCACAAGCGTCCCGCTGCATCCCTGCCCAGCTGTACTGATGCTTACACACACTGCTGGGGAATTCAGATGTCTCCTCTCGACTTCCCATGGACAACAGAAATCATTACTTGCTATTGTGGACACTGTAAGGTGGTGTTTTTTTTTTTTTTTTCCTAGAACATCTGATTATTTCATTATTCTATTTTTTTCCTTTACTCTGTACACCCACCCTTGAAAACATGACAAAGCTGCATTAGTGATTACTGCGTTGGCCAAATGGGTTTGTGCAAAACCTCCAAAATGCCTCCTCTTGGAGGATCCTTGGGAAGGTCTGTCTGTACTGTCCCCTGCAGGCTCAGTTCCTTCATCCACATTTCCTCAGTGGGAAAGACACAGATACCTTCGTTTCTGCAAGTTTTAGGAAATGGAGAGAGCACTGAGCCCTGACCCATGAGACACAGCATGAAGCTGCTCATGGTGACAGGACCTGCTCACCTCTCCCAGACCTGCCTGAGACACAGCAGGTCCCTGCAGCCCTTGCATGTTCAGCCTGAGCCTCTAGTAAAACTTCAGGCAATGCTATGCTCTTCCCCCATGCACACACAGGCAGCACGTGAGCCTCCACTTTAGGTATGGGAAGGAACCACCCGGTTGGGAGGCAACCAGCACCCCCTCCTGCAGGCGCTCAAACGCCACACCGGCTGCAAAGGAAGGCACCAGCCTGTGTTTCCAAGAGCATCTGAAAACAGTCTTGAGTGCCCCTTGCACTTTAGCCCTCAAATGTGAGTCCTGGGACCTCAGTGTAGCTGAAATGGGAGCCAAGGCAGCCGGCTTTGGTCAAGAGGGCTGCAGATCCTATAGAGGCTGCCCTCATTTGGGTTAAGTGGAGGAGAAAAAAAAAGGCCATAACCGGAACTGTGCAACGACTGAGAACATCCCCCAACCCCTGGGGAAAGGTAAGTTATGCTACATCCCAACAAATGGTGCCGCTTCTTTCCCTTGCTCACTGGATGCCACCGTGACGGAATTCAGTGCATCCTACAAGATCTGCATCCTGCTGCTTTTCCCAGTACTGCTGTTCCTTCTGTGCCCAGTAAACAGAGCCAGGCCAGCAAGTGTCTGGTGTCTCCCCAGAGCTGCTCAGTGTGGCAAAGCAAAAAGCAGTTCAAATTTGGCACTAGCAGCTAGGTTTTGTTGATGGTTTCCAGAGCTGCAAGTGAAGGAGAAAAGCACTGGGGAGGTGAGGCAGCAGGGAGATCCCAGGAAACGGGCCAATATTTTAAAAAAAAAAAAAGAAAGGAAAGAAAAATGCCACCAACTGGGGGATGGGTAAAGTTAGCAGAAACTGGGGAACCGAGAGATGTTCTAATCTGTGTATTACTGCCATGTGGTGCATTTCAACGCAGCTGGGAACTAAGTTATTTAACATTAACCCGATCACCTCCTAAGAAAGCTTGCAGAACTGCAAGCGAGGCCCCACTGCTTAGATATAACGCACTGCAGTTTTAGCACATTGGAAAAAGGGTTACTAATAAACTAATCTCTGCACATACTCTGGGTAACAGCCAGAGGCTATGGAGACTTATAAAAATCCTGAAACGTAAGCCGGTGAAAGGAGACAACTTCAGAAAAGTACTAGAAGCAAGACAAGCTTCACAGCTCGGCGCCTGCTGTGTTTCTGTTCTGCCCAAGGGAATGGGGAGGAAGCCTCCGCGAGCGAGTGCCCGTACCGGCAGCGTGAGGCTCGGCTTCCACTGCAACCGAGGGCCCTCGGTGCCACCCGTGCCTCCGCTCGGGAGTCAGTCTTCAGTTCTCTGCTTAGCCCATTGCCCATCCTTCGCTTGTTGCTACAGTGAGAGCAGCACTGAGGGGTGTTGGCTACGAAACACTACTGTCAGCCACCCTGTGCAGGCCATTTTTCCTTTAAAAGGAAGATGTGGAGATGCAGTGTCCAGGTTCCAAAGCACACTCAGCTGCAGAATTCAAACGCAGTATAGGAGACAGGAGCTCTCTTGTTCCAGTAAGTTGTTGTCAGTGACAGCTTGAAAAAGTTAATCTTGACAGAATCTGACAGACCTGTTGCTCCTAAAAATCTGGAATCTAGAAACAGTTTTGACAGTTACATTTCCATTTCCTGCTTCTCAACACATGAGGGTTGTTGCATTGCAGCACAGTCTGTGAGGAGTAGCTAGTACCACACTTCATACTTGGATTTCAGTCCATTCAGTCACCATGATCGGTGTTTAAAAACATACACATTAATTGAGACCAATATGCTGTATCCAGCAGATGCCCTGCATTTAGCTACTGAAAAATCAGGGAGCACAGTCTGACACTTGGATTCTATTAAAGCTTTTATTAGCTACTTGAGCTTTTCCTCTCAGTATTTCTGTAATAGTTCTTAATATCAGAGTAAAGTTAGGTGTTCAAGTGAAGTTATGGAAGAGGGGGCAGGAAAAAAAATAAAAAAGCAGCAGTAGCTTGGCAATAATTCCTCCAATCACTGACTGCAACTTTTTTTAAGCCTCCTTTTTCTCCAGCAAGATTTTGTGCAATTCATCTGCATCTTCACTTGTTTTCACTCGTATTAACATAGTGACAGGACCAGTCGGATTCTTCTCGTCGATCGGGGGATTAGGAACGCAAACTATAAGAACATTGTTTTTTCCGGTTCTTGTGCAGGGCATCTTGGGTGGAATTAGAACATTCAACAGTATGTTTCCTGCATTGAGGAAAGGAGGGAAAAGTAAATTTGAAAAATTAGCATTTTTTCAGCTTTTACTGCAATAAGGATGTTTTAGTGTATTTACTAAATAGGGATTTAAATTTGTGTACTGAAGACAATTCAGAAGTGTCATAAGAGTCTTATTCTTACTCTTCCCTAAGCATCTGTTCTTATGCAACTTACTTCCTCCGTAGGATAAGGAATTCTATAAAAATACTGTGTCCTTTTTTAAAAAAAAAGGAGGAGCGTGAAGAAAATCCAACGATAGCAGAGACACGGAAGGATAAGGGAAAGGGACAAGGGAGAAGTAGCAAAGGAGGAATCAACTCGAAGTGCTTAGTTTATGCTTACGGAGGTTACTCACTTTGAACATCAAGCAGAAGCGAAGAGTTAGTTTTAATACGTGTACAGACACATTAATCTAGGTGAACTGGGGTAGAAATCATCCAAACACATCTCACGTGGTCTATCATTATGCTACTATTAGCAGCTGTCTTTCAAATTGTTAAATTATCTAGCAAGTTTGAGTGCCATATATTAGCGGTCTATTAAAACAGTTGCAAGCAAACTCAAAGGTGCTTCAACTGAAGACACACACGTTTTGGGAACCTGGTAAACAGTTCAGAACATGGTGGTAGTATTTAGGGAAAAGTCAGTCTTCACCTTCCTCTCCAGTTCAGTTTTTCAACACAGTGAGGTTTAAGGAAAGCATTACAGCACTGTGTGAAGACAGCAAAAAGGAAAGCAGGCATCACTATGACAGCAGCAGCTTGCAGAACCTGATGCCTGGCACCACCACGCTATCAGAATCATTTACGTTGGAAATGTCTTGGAGATAGTAGGAGCTGAAGAAAAAGGAGCAATTTCCTAATACAGGAGCTCAGACGAAGACAGAGGGATGTAAAGCCATGTGGTGGAAACCAGTGTCAGCCGAGTGAAAGCTCTGAGACTTTTGTTACACGGAAGGTAACTTTGCCAGATCTATCCAGCACATCCAGCTCCCTAATGCAATGCTGAAAGGGATGGCAACGTGTCCAGATGTCAGCCTCCAGTTCAGGTGCCTAACAGTAATCTTGCCTTGATCTGGCAAACCTTGCCTCAAGTGGAAGTTCAGAGAAGTGACACAGACAACCTCATCTCACTAGATGTTTGAAAACCTTCACCTAATGTGCACATCATCATTTCGTTTTTAGCCTTGCAAGAGAGTATTTTAAGCCAAAACTGAGATAAGCTTTCTAGCTGACCTATGGCAGAGTATGCCCATAGCTCTCAGCTTTTATAAGCCCGATTACTGAAGAAAAATTAATTGAGAAGTTGTGAAGTGCACAGCAACTACAAATGCACATTTGTTGAAGTCATAGCGAAGTCTGAGAAGAATGAGTACCAAAACACTGATTTCCACAGTTTATGAACTCCTCCGTCATTGAAGCAGGATGATTCATCTTAAATAATTTTTGAATATGTGAAATCCCCTAATATCAAGAAAGCAGAGAAATAGCCTTTTGTTCCTTATGCAATTGGTTATTTGTCTTACGAAATTAATCTCCTGAAATATACTGAGCAACTACCACACTAAACACCACTTTAACTCAGTAGAGTGAACCCATTATTTGTGATCCAATTGAAAATCTAGCTGAAAGAGTTTCATGCTTGGGCCTCAGTGTACATAAAAGTAATTAAGTTATCAAAATCCTGCATGCCTGTTTTATGTAACTCCCTCTTACTTCCCACCAAGCATCATGGATGTCTGCCCACATGGTCAACTGTTTATATCTTCACAGCAAATTGTAAGCAAGAGACAGTAGGCCTGCATTTTATCACAAAGCTTGCTCATCTGTGACATAGCATACACGCCACTTAACCTCCCCAAAAATTTTTGGAGAAAAGTTTTGAAGAAGTTTTTCATGTTTTTTTTCTTTCTTCTTTTTTTTTTTTTAACATTGAAACCCTACATTGTATTATACCAAACAGCAACCTCTTTATTCATTAACTTTCTGGTGTATATTTACTTTATTATGGAGCCTTAAGTCAAGTTTCAAAAGATATTTAAGCGACGGCTGAAGAACAGTTCTGAAAGAAGAGAGGGAATGACACCCCCACATACACTCGAAAAGGAAAAAAAAATCCCCAGGATCATACACTGTAACCTTTTAGGGTACTTGAAGCAGTGTAAACATTTCAGAATATTTTTTAGAGCAATCCAACTGCATTATTTGAAATTAATGGAAACTTTTTCTGAATAATTTCATCACTTATGTTGTGCAAGAAAAAAAAATCCTAGTGCTTAGCAACAAATGTTACATAAATACTTGTTACTAGAAGGGGAACTCCGCCCCCCCCCAAAACAAACAAACAAAAAACAAAACCCCCCCACTTACCTAAATTGGTATCTGCTCGGACTAGCAGTTGAGTTTTTTCATTTCCTGCTGGCTTTAAATGTAATGTTCCTACACCTTTTTCTTTGAATTCATTATCCTTTTTGTAGAACAGTTTGCACCTGTGCCAAAAAGTAATTGTACAGATATGCAGAAGTCAATAATAAACTTGCTGTGCGCAGCAATCCTTATTCTTCTTGACCTGGTTTACGTTATGTACAAAGAGTAGGAATTTTGTCACTGCAGTAATGAAAGCAATGATTAACCTTCTCTTTCTGACCTGGTAAGTACTATCTGTTACCAATTGAAACAGCCATGTGAATCGGGGTGTGAAAAATAATTAAGGAATAATAGCTTGAATTATCATAAACTTCTGATTTCAAAAGTGTAAAAATTTGCTGTAAAAATTTGTAAGAGGATTACAATTCTACAAATTTTTAAGTCATCCTTTTAAGTGACAGACCAACAGACCTAACCTCATTTTTGAAAAATTAGTACATAACTTCTTTTTTTTTTTTTGGTAGGAGGCCAAGCTCTATTCTCAGGGCCAAGCATATGTATAATTTTCTGGACTACTAAACAGTCCAGGAGCTAGGAAACTTCCAGTGGCACCTCACTTTCCATTGAAGAAGACAGCTTGTACACAGCTTCATAGAACGACTGGCATTTTCAAAATGGAGAGTCTTATTTTAGACTATGCAAATAGCTGATCATCTGCCTGAATTTTCAGTACAGTAAGTTACTTCTGTAAATTAAAACTGTGAGGATTACACTACACAACCTGATGAAGGCAGAAGTTTCTTCACTGGTGCCACTGATCACAAATACAACACAAAGTAGGTCTTAGTACTCAGTCCAAGACAGCAATAATTTTAACAAGCATCCACAACTGTCTTTGTCTGTAATTGAGCTTTAGACAAGTGGAAATTCAGACTCTACACAGCTTCATAAGAAGTTTAGTAACAAGTTAGTCAAGGATATATTCTTGACTACACAGTGCAGTAGTACACTTCTTCACTACTGCATATTACAAAGTGCAGTAGTGAAGAACAAGCACTGAGTAAATACAGATTTTGTTCTCTAAATTAGGATTCACTATTCCGAGTTAAAGTCACTTACTTCTTTGAATAGAAAGCATCATCTTCTTTTATTTCATTAACAACAACTTTTGGTGGCTCTTCCTCCTCCTCTTCTCCTCCTTTAAATACAAAGTTTTAACACATCCCATATATTAATGCTGTGATTTATGCATATGATTTAGTGTATTTTCAGTGTTGTATTAGAACAAGTTTGTGCATGCTATATTTAACATCTACATGTATAGCCTCTCAAAGACTATACAAAATCACATGTATATGTGATTTGTGATCACACAAATACATTTAAGTGAATGTGGATTCTGAAAGTGAAGTAGCCCTCACCTATGTACACTCTTTTCATTCAGTCAAGGTCATCCTCAGTTTAAACTGTTATCAAAATATCAACCCCCAACAACTCCTCAAAAACAAATTAGAAATAAAAAGCTTAACAAATCAAACTTAAGCCAAAACCTTTTGTTAAGGGGAAAAACAGCTGTAACACTTTCAAGAATAGTCTCCACTCAGAGTTATTTATTGTGCTTTTCATAGACCTAACAGACAAGTTTAACTTGAGGGAAGGGAAATCAGTTACAGAAGTGATAGCAAAAGATAGTAGCGGGATTATGTCTTTCTAATCCCTCAACTGCTGGCATTTCTACAGGCTAACTGTACCCAACTTACCTAAATAACAGACTAGAAACTGTCAGCTGCTATGTCCCTTTCTTGCCTCTTATATTCTTGGTAGTAAGATCTATGAAAAACTTCCCTCTCTTACATATTTTAACCATAAACCTACTACAACAAGCAGGACTCAAACATCCTTCAGGCGCAAGGCTGAGCATACCACTTGCTCCACACTTTAGAGTGAAACATGCAGTAGTCCAACATTCAGAAGCAATTATGATCTAGTGCAAATTAAGAATACTGCAAAGGTAAAATAATGTTAAATCCCATACATCCCAAGCTTATCATTAAAGCAATTTTTGTAATAGAATTTACCTTTATCATCACTACTGCCACTTTCTGTCTGGGCTTCCAGTATATTGGTAGGCACTGCGCTGACAGGCTTAGCTTGGTTTGCGTCTTTTCCAAACAAACCTGAGTTTCCAGGAGAAAATGAGAAACTGCTTAGTTGTCCAGAACCAAGGGAACCCAAAACAGAACTGTCGATGCTCTTTCCAAAATTAAATGAGACAGTTGATCCAACTCCTGCTGCTGGGTCTCTCTTTTCTGAAGCACTTTCAGTTTTTTTGTCCGAGGTATCCTCATTTTTCTTGCTGTTAAACAAAAATGTTGATCCTTGCTGTGGCTTTGAATTTCCAAAGGTAGAAACAGACTGAGTGCTTGGTGTCTTGCTGACTTCATTTTCAGAGCCACTATCACTATTGCTTCCATGTTGTTGCTCAATATTTGCTAGGTACTTCTCATAGTCTCTGAAGATTGGTGTCAGATCACATAGCGGGTTTGTGTTTACATGCTTAACTATCCAGTCACGCACAGAACAGTTTAAAGCTGCTAACTGTTTGTGATAAATGCCAGAGCTACACATTTGACTCTGAGAATGGCCAGATGATGACGCTTGACTGCCACCATTGACTTTGGGGCTTGCAGCCTTCTTTTCGGTGAAGGCAGAAGCAGTGGGACCATTTGACGCTGTGGAGCCTATTAAAGGAAAACATGGTTTAGAACAGGTTTCTTCCAAACGCACATTATTCAAAAGAAATCCACACTTCCAGAAACGTAGAGGAAGTATCAAATTATTCAACCGTGCTCAGTTACAATCCTTATTGCATCACAACAATCTGCCCTGTAGAGCAGTAAACAGCCAATGCTGTGAAAAAGCCTTCTGCTGTTTAGAGGTTCAAAGGCATAGGGACACCGAGTGCATCAAGGGAGGGGGTGGGATGGTGGGGGTGGAAACCTCAACTTCAATAATACAAGAAAATTAAGTTCACAGGCAGGTAAAGTAGATGGAATACATAGTTGTAGAAAAAAAATCTAAAGAAATTATAGAATAACATTAAGAGAAAGTTTATGTTACCAGAAAACCCCAAAATGTTAATCAGACATGTTTTACTAAATTGCAAGAGTTGTTAAAAGCAAAGTATTCAGTTATCTTCCGCCACTTTTGCCACTCTGAACGTACTAGCCAATTTCCGAATGGTTGGAGTGGTTTGAATATAAAAGCATAATAAAACGTAAGACATAAGACCTTGAGAAAGCCTTCATTAAGGACTTCAGTTTCCCCCTTTCATTTAAACTTACTGAAAACTAAGTAACTAAGTTTCAGATCATCATTTCTATTCTATGACTTGCTGACTTTAAATCTCTGTAGCATGGTTAGCTTTCCTACATCTCCAAGACAAAGATTCCTAAAATATAGACATAAATGTAACAGATGAAATTCTAATACGGCTGGTTTGCAATATAATAGTATAGGTTAAGATTTTAGCTGTATATTGCATTTACCAAAGCCTAGGAAAAACATACTTAAATAAGACATTGTAAAAATACTAATACCAAACAGATATTTTCATTTGCATTTTTTAAATTCTATTCAGAAAAATCAGGCAATTATTACATTGAACTAGAATGTGTTACCAGATGTTAATTATTCATATATTATATTATTCGTAATTCCAACTTCCATTCCTATGTGTTTGTATTTTAAAAGGCTTTATCTCCACTGCCAGATCAAATATAAACATGATTTCCAGGTCTCAAATTGCTTGTATTGGGTAATATGTCCCTCCACCAGTCTAAAATCTTTTTAAGAGATATTATAAAGTGGAATAAAGTTCCAATACTTTAAACAGAGCTACAGAATTATTTCTATTTGTTTCTTCACCACTCAATTAACGATGTGGATTTTATATCTGAACTTGTTGATCATACATATACTTATTTAAAACTTACCAAATGCCATTTGTGTTTCAGATGTTGTCTTTAAACTGCTGAAAGAAGGTGTACTAGAGACACTACTGCTTCCATTAGACAGCCCCTCTAAAGGCTTTATTCCTGCACCATTACCAAATCCACTGAAGCCACCTCCTGCTTTGCCAGAAGGTAATATAAAGCCTTTGAACCCCTTAAAAGCTCCTCCGCTTTCAGACTGGGGGGAGAGAAGGAAAGGAAAACAGTTACTTACATCTGACCCCCGCAAACCTCCAATCCCTCCTCCTTCAACATTCAATTTATTTTACCCTTCTTTGGTATGTCACTTTATGCTTTATTTAATGCACATTATTTTAAGCCAGCTATGTAAACAGAGTTGTTAGTTTCCTCCTAAGCTTTCTTATGTCACAGGTTGCTACTATTTTTACAAGGACTCAGAGGTTTGGTATGCAAACAAACTAGATACAGGAAGTAGATACATAACTTGCTGAAAATACTGGATGTGTCTGACTACCTATTTGGTGATTCATAGTATTTTGTTCTCTTCAAATAATTACAATGCAATTGCAGACTTATTTTCGGACACATTTGGCATTTACAATGACAACTCAAGTTCAGCATTTCAAATGCTCACCAAAACTGCAGGCTTTGTAGTAAGCTAAATAAAGTTTGCTTTAGGCGACTTGCTAGAAAAATTGCAGTGTGATGTAAGAAGTGTATGAAGTGTATTTAATAATATAATATATATATGGTTTCTATAACTTCGCCATCATCTAGTTTTGATAGCTTTAACCTAACAGCCATATTACAGGACAGTTTCTTAGGTGTTTTAAAAGGTGAACATCTAAAATGATAAATACCCTAATAGGTGCTGTCTCTTTTATACTAACTAAAATATCTTGCCAGGTCATGAGCACTCATCGCTTTAGGGGACTCTCAGTGTCACTAGAGAGTCAGAGGAAAAGGAGAGGTGCTTCTGAGTTTCATCTGGTTTTAGACACTGAATAATTTGCAGAATTCGACAACTCTGGGCTCTACTCTAACACCCGGAAGAGCAATGGCCATGTGGCTATGGGCTCTCTTTGCTTCCCTTCATGCTTTAGTTTTTCCAGTGTGAGTCCTCTGTTCTTTATTTCTAGCTAGGTATTCTAACATGCTCTTCTTCCAGTTTTGCTCTCACACAGCTGCATCCTGGCCTCCTAACTTTATTTCTTCTCACATCACCTAGTCCCATTTCCCATTCCACCAGCTCCTGAACACCTCCCCTTCAGTTTGTGCCTTATTTGAATCTTCTTTCCAATACAGTCCTTTAGGAAACTGCACCCTCTACTACATCTCTGACTAGAACTACTATGGCCAAAAATGTAATGGGAAAGCTTCTCCCTTCTTGTTGCTTGGACAGCAGTAGGAAAATCCAGAGCACAGATAACTTCATTAACTTTTGATTTCCAAGCTTCCCCTTCCACAAAGACTGAAATGAGAGCAGTTCAAATACTACTTTCCCCATCTGTAGAAATGATAATGACTCAAGCATTCTGCATTTGTACTTTAAAGAACACAAATCTCTTTAGCCTTCAAAAGTACTAGTACTGTCCATTTCTTATCTAAGCCTTACTCTTGCTATAGGAACAGTAACTGAAAATTAATTTGCTATGTACAAGAGCTGGCTAATTACATATACCTTATAAATGGTAAATCAATACTGTATTAAGCCACAAGCACAAGTGAAAACCTGAACAGAGGCTCTATTTTACAAATCAGTTAGGCTGCAACACTGTTCCGTGATTAGTTACCTCTGTTCCAACATTTCGGCGTTTTGCTTTTTTAATAGCTCTGTTCTTCAGGACTTCTTCACTGGCTACTGAGAAAGTTCCCACCTTTGAAAACAAGTTACAGAACATTTAGGGAGATTTTCAGAATAAAGCCAAAACAGTCTGAACAGATGGCAGAGATCAGCTTTTGAGCACAACTGTACGCTTCCCCATTAACAGGGAAGGCAAAAAAAACGCATTATGCTGTATTCCAGTACTGTGATTTAGATGGTCGTGTACTTGAATGATTAGTTTACACTTTACAGCTTTCACAGCTCTATTTTGCATTAAATTTGCCTTCACCCAGACTAAATCTAGATTTTATCATGACAAAATAATTGAGAAATTCTGCTGTCTGTAAAACATATTTGCCAAACGGAATCTGTTGATACAGCACTGTTACAATCAAACTTCAGTTTGGAGAAAATATATTGAAATGTATGGTCAAAATCCACCTCCCACAGGTTGCTGCAGTTAAATATTAGCAAAGGCAGTTAAGACCAGTTACTACCCCATAATAAATGAAGAAATTAAGTTTTCTTATATTCATATTTCTAGAAGCGTATGGACAGTTTTGCTTCTTACACTCTATAGGCCTGAACATATAACATTTTTACCTGCACAGAAGATTTTTTTTAAAGCACTGATTTATATAAAACCATGTTTAATTGATAAGCTTGTAATCAGTTTTACTATGTTTTTAATCCACAAGATGAACAGCACGCAAATAACTACCCTATGGTAGTTTGTGGACTGATGGTGGGGACAGTGGGGGGACATATCTAAGAATATTTTACCTCCTCAGCTTCATCTTCCTGATCCCAGTTTCTGTCAGTCAGTTCTTTTTCTGCAATTCTCTTTGCCATTTTCGCACACCTGTATGGACAAATAATCAAAAGAGCACGGAATCAACTGTACAGCAGCAACTAGAATAAGCAACAGGAATTAGAGTTCATATAGAAGCAGGTCAAAATTGAAACAAGAGCTGAAAACCAAATATTCTATTGCAACAACAATTCAACAATCAACAGCACGTGAAATTGGGAAAGGTGCGCTGTTCAGACACTGCATTTGAGCAATAGAAGCACACAGTTCAGTTACAAGGTGTGTTTTCCTTCCAGTCCCACAGGCCATACCTTAACACCACTTACTGGAAAGGATTGCAAGAAAAATCAAATAAGATCATCTGGTTAAAAGATTTCATATCCCCCCTCATCTTGCTTCCTCTGCATCTACCTCCATAAGCAGCAATAATCTTGAAAGGAAAATGAAATTTTTGATGCTTTATAACATCAAAAATAATGATGAGGGGTACCCACTGGAGCAAACGGACTGCAAACTTAAGAGTAAGAATGAAAATAATGCTCTAATACGAAACTAAGAAGACTAATTAAAAAGTTGAAAGATTCTAGTGCAAATTACTAGAATTTCTAATTCAAAAATATTACTAATACAAAAACTTCTGACTTGCAATTTTGTAAAGTGCAACTCACAGGCTGTATACAAAAAGAAGGCACTGAATCCAGTGTTTTTTTGTGTCAGAAAAATCTGGTTGATAACCACATTGCTCTGATTCTATTTAGAAAGAAGAGTCTGTCTAACAGCAACTACATTAGCCAATATAGTCATGAGAACTTTTTCAGAAAAAATATGTAGATTTTGTAGCAATTTAAGTCCGAGGTAACCCAAGCAAGAATTAAAATTCCTAAAAAACACAGACAAAAAAAATCCATACACTGCTATGATTCAGACCTGGTCAGAAAAAAAAATTCCCAAATATTATTAGCTGAAAATGCTAGCAAAGGGTGATTTCATAAGTCATCCCATTTATCAAATGAAATATTTTTAAACAGAACACTATATATAACTGCACAAGTCTCACAGAGATCACAAATCAAATACAGGAATTTTGGTCTGACACATTTAAAGGCAAATTATTAAGATCTTTTAGAAGTACAGTCGATTTCATTATTTGACAAAAGAAATTGTGGAAATACTTTTAAATGTCATAAACCACGCCACTCATAGGTCCTATCATGCTTCTGTATCAAGTGAAAAGTATTTCCCAAGCCAGGTTGATTCACCAGTTCCGCTTTGCACGTGGCTACGCAAACACCTGTGACCAGAGGAAGACAGGATTGCTTCCATGTGCCAGTGACCACAGTTCAAAGGCTTTTGAGATCGTAACCAAGAATTACTTCATTGGATCTACAGGGAAGATCAAATTGCCACTAGAAGGGCAGCCACTGGAACACTACAAATACTGGATGAAGCAGATGCCTGTTCTCCATTTGCAGAAGACAGGGGGAAACTGACTGGCCTGGGCTCTGGTTCTTCACAGGTATTTGTATTTATATGATTTTTGCACAATAGAAGCTGACAGCAGACTCTAACATACATAGCAGCTGTAGCAAAAGAGCTATAGACAGATTTCTAACTTGTGAAGTAACACTAAAACATTTCCATCTGACATCTCAGATACTGCACAACCCTCAGGAAGTTCTTTTTTAAGTGTTCTGAAGGGGTTATGATGGGTGTATTATATCTTCTTATTTATCAAACAAAACATAGACAAACTACCACAATACACTTGGTAAATACAGACTTATTTAACACAACTTTATGAGAAAAGGTTTATTTCTAATACTGGCAACCCACAGCACAGCCTACCTACTATAAAGTTACAAAGTCAGCACTGTTGGAAGGTAACACCCTGAAATTAAGCAATAAAAGTCAATCGTCTCTCAGAACGCCAGACACACAGAGCAAAAATGCATATTTAATGCCACTCCAGCTCTTTTTCACCCACACTTTGGCTCCAGAGCAGGAAGTGCTGTTACACACCACGACATGTAAAAGCACCGGAAGTCAAAAGTGGTGCACGGCAGCAAATCCACGCGCCTCCCTTCCTGAGAAGCTGTTCTAGTTCGTATATGCTCTTTCTGGTTTAGCACACTAAGTCCCCCTCGCTTCCTTTTCAAGGGTCTACCAGCATTTTAACACAGCAATTTAAGCCCCTCCCTCTCCCTCCACACACGGCACATATAAGCAGCAGACTCTACTTTCTCTCCCAGCGCAGCTCGTCCAAATACGCTTAAAAATCGCGTATTTGGCCTTGCGCAATCAGGAGAGATAAGGGGAAAACGAACACGGCAGCATTACCCCCCCCGTATGCCACCCAATCGGCGGCATTTCCAGCCGCATGGCGCTTTCCGCCCGGGTTTGAAACCCACGAGGCGCCCTGCCGGCCGCTCAGAGATGAAGCGGCTCCGAAAGCCGCCCCGCAGCCCCAGGGACGGGACCGGGAGCACATGCGGCCTCGCGCCAGCGCCCTCCCTCCTCTCCTTTCCGCCTCAAATCGCGGCGAGGCGCCAGCCCGGGGACCAGGGGCCTCCCTCCCACTATGCAAAAGATGCCGCGGAGGGAAGAGAGGGACGAGCAGGCGCCGCGGCGGAGGCCGCAATGGCAGGCGGGGAGGCGCGTACCTGTGCGGAGCAG